CACTTCCCTGCATATGGGTGAGTTACTTCATGAATAGCGTACGTGAACGATGTGGTCTGTAAGAAACTGAAAGTCCTGCGGTGTTTGCGTGGCCGCAGAAATGCCCAATTCTTTGTCTGCTAGAAGCATCGCGTCACATATCATGAGCTCGACGGCCTTGCCCTTGCGATGGTTGTAAATCTGTTTGTGCATCTGATAGCGCTGTTGAAACATGTCGTAAATGTCTAGATTGACGCTCGTGTGGTAGCATATCTCATTATCAATTACGTGGTTGAACATCGTGAGCCGCGAGAAATCAAATACTTTTCGTAGACCAAATAGATTGAGCATATCGCGTGCAAGGTAGTCAAACTTGTCCACATCAATGCAATTGCGTCCGTTAGCTACAATCTCGTACAGGTATCCACGGGAATCAATACGTGAGCCTTGATGTCTTCTACTATGTTCACACAAGTAGATATCAAACATATACAAGAAATCTATCAGTTGTAAAACTGCATGTGTTGCAACATTCAAACACCTTTAACTCTTTTGCTTCAACGATAAGTTGCTGGATGAATCGCATGTCGTCCCTTTCCAAGTCAATGTTGTTGTCATCGACCATGTACTCAATCATCCTTACTGACATGTCTTCATGGTGATACAATGGTATATCTCCATTGCCATATCCCCTCATCAATGCAACACGAGGCATAAACTCGTGCTCGAATACGTGTGAAAAGGGACCATGTCCCAAATCGTGAAGAAGTCCTGCTGCACTCTACAGTGCATTAACGATTACTCCATCACTGCTTGTCGATCTCAATTGCAAATCAACTTACCAATAGCCTGGAATCTCTCAGTGTAAGTTCTAGTTCAGGCTGCTGGTGTCGAAATCGCTCGACTGTCTGTCCAGATAAGAAACCTACACCGAGTGAATGTTCAAATCGATTGTGTGAAGCACCTGGAAAGACGTAATACAGCGTTCCAAGCTGCTTTAAGTCTCGTAGTCGTTGAAATTGTGGTGTATCCATTAATGATACACATAGTCCATTGACTTGAATGTACCCATGTACTTGATCTAATAATTCAGATATATATCTTTAAATTTACATATCTCTGCTTCTACATACAATCACACAGCAATAGACCTACCATTAAATAGCTTAGCGCGTGAATCATCTTCTACTGTCCATCCATGACTCATAGTCGAATTTCCAAGACCTGTAACTCACTTTATCAGTTTAGTCGATAGGTCGTCGAGTGACGTTATCACATGTGCGTCATCCATGAGACGTGACGCCGATAGAATGGTGTGGTCAACATTAGGTTTACATAGTAGACATGATCCGTTTACATAACTGATACACAATCTTTTCTTGACGCCTCACCATACTAAAACCAAGATACTTTATTCCACATGGGAGGTAATGTAGCGTATGTCGAGCTCTTTGGGGCTTCGTCGAAGGCGACATTAGGACTCTATGCGGGTATACAGCCACAGGAGCTTGATGTGGTCGTTCGTACAGCATTGAGACACTATGATGGCGTGTGTACTGGCTTCCAAGTGACACAGGAGACGCCACGTTCGAGTCGCAAGAAACGCCATTCAAGATCCATTCCACGTCTTGTGCCGCTGTCTGTGGCATGTAAAGCACCGGAACTACTTATAGGACACGTTTGTGCTTTATTTGCACCATTTGCAAGCTCTCAGACAGCTTGGAAGGCTGAGAACGAGGCGATAACGTCTCGAAACGATGTGGAGAGTTTGCAGAAGCTCTTACAGGCGCTAGAAAGCGAGGAAAAGCTTTCTGGCTTTGAGTTCGCCATGCTACAACACTTGTGTGAACAACAAAATGCTCAGGTACTTGCTGTAATGAATGGAACGCTGTCAGTGGACAAAAAGAAGGAATTTCTATTGCAAATGCTGCATCCAAAGGACGGTGAAGAGCTACAGATGCCTAGAAATCAAGTACATCAACAGAAGGAAAAGAAGACGCTCTATGGTGAGCTAGTGGCCAAGAAAGTGGCTGTGATTGGCACAAAAGCCATTCGTCCA